GATTTTTCGGTAAATATCGTATCATAGGTGATAAACCCAGTAAAATGACCATAACTCGAGAAGAAAGGCCCATGGGTCCTTGTCCTTTTGGGCTTTTTCTAATCTCATTAGACTCTACTTATGGGCAAAATATCGGCTTAAAAGCTTTGAATCACTTCGAACGGTTCCCTCGTTAGCCCAAGATTGATTTTTAAAGGACCGGAAGATTAATTTTCTCATGAAAACTAGTTAGAAAGATGATAGTTAGACTAGAATATATATATATGTGTGTGTGCGTTTTGAAGTTAATATTTAATTGAAAATCTTCATACTTTTTGTTTTTCATTTTCAGCTTCAATTAAAGCTTGATCACGTTCTGTAATAATATTAGCTAATTCATAATGTAAATCTTCTTTTTCTTTTTCATATCGTTGTACAGAATCATCTTTGTCACGTGTTAATTGTCGAATAGTTTCTTCACGTACTGCTTCTAATTCATGACGAAGTTTTTCACGTTCACGTGTCATACGTTCAATATCATCTTCATGAGCTCTATGATGTTGCTGAACAGTTGTTTCTTTATCATGTTCTAATTGTGTTAAACGTAGATGTAATTGTTCACGTTGACGAGCAGATTTTTCAATTTCAACATTTAATTCAGCATGTAATCGTTGAATTTCACCTTGAAGTTGTTCTTTACGTAACAATAATTCTTGATTTTCACCTTCTAATTGTTCTTTTCTAACTTCAAGTTGACTTATTGTATTTTGTGCTTCATAAAGATTTGTTTCGAGAGCTTCTTTTCTAGATAAGAAAAATTAAATTTTATTTTTTAAAATAAAAGAAAAAAAAAATTTTCACTTACTCAGCACGTAATGCACTGATTGTCTAAAAAAACAAAAACAATAGTGATTTTATTTATGAATGAAACACTTTTTGATTATTTACTGAATTTAATGTTTGATTGTCACGTTCAGTACCACTAAGATCAACAACAAGATTACCACGTTCTTTAGTTAATTCTTCTTTTTCTTTATTTAAACGTGCATTATGTTCACTAAGTCGTTCAATATCTTTTCTAGCAGCAATTAAATCTTCAGCTAAAGTATTTTTTATTCGATTCAACTAAATAAGAAATTGGTTTCTTCTTTTTTTTTCTTAAAGTTTTATTTTAAACTCATTACCTGTTGAAATTGTTCAATGATTTCAACTTTTTCTTTATTAACAATGTTTAATTCTTGTTCAATTTGTTGACGAGTGACTTCAGTTAATTGTAGACGATGAAGAAGAGCTAAAAGAAATCGACGGCAAGTGTTTTTTGAAATGCTAATAGATAATTAACAAAAGAATTTTAGTTTATGATAAAACTTCAAGAATGATATAGCTCTAAGAACGTTTTTTTATCGAGAAATTGTAAGATAGAACGGTTTTTTTAGACAATAATCAGCGATACATGAAATCTATCGAATTCACAAGAGCAATGAGCAATAGGAGAGCAGTTCGATAAAGTAGCATGACGTATTATGATTATATAGGATATGCATTAACAATTAAGTTTCATCTGTTTAAAGCAAAAAAAAACAAGGATACTGAATTACGTTGCTTTAGAAAAGCTGAATAAATATCGATTTCGATAGGATAACTAGATACTTTTAATGTTCGACTTCGATTTATAGTTGAAATTCTTCAAGAAATGATTTAGATTCTTGTAATTGTGAATAATCTTTCATCAAAACGAAAACACGACCTTGCTCTGCTTATCTAAAGTAAAATCTAATCAGCATATTATTCATATTAGATTTCTTATGCTTATTAAATCGTACGAGGGAACGTTCCCAACTGTCGAAAGGCTTTTCACTTGAGACTTTTGCTATTCAATTGGTTATTAATAAGTAGTAAAATGGACTGTTTTGATTTGGTTTTCTAATCTTCGACTAACTGAGTTATGATCATGGAATCATTGAGAATCTGTATGATCGAATTTCCAAAATTTTTCTGTACCAAAACTATATACCTTTCGTTCTGAAGTCAAAAATCACCGTGAACCTTGCATTTATCAAGGATACGCTCGTTCTGCCACAACCTGTGAAATGCTTTTAATGGCTATAAGACTTATCATGGAAAAAATTCAGTCATCTAGACTCTCAACGATCCTACGCTCATAGGAGAAAAGTCGAGTAAAACATACCTAATTCAACAAGTAAAGATCGAAAAACTAAACTAAAACAGACTTTTAACCATTCATCAAGACCGTTCAAATGGTCATATAGTCTCAAATGGAAAAGCAATCTGGCTGTTGAAAATGTTTCCTTGTTAATTCAATCTTTCCTATGCTACATTTCACTTACTATCTCGTTCATTTTCAACATCAATTTTTTCTTGTTCAACTTTTACAAGTTCCTAATAATAAAAAAAGACAACTATGTTTTTTTTTTTTTTGTATTCATATTATATAATAAATACTTGTCGAAGTGTGGTTTTATCTTGTTCAACATCAGATTTTTCATTATGTATAGAACTTTTTTCTTGCTCAACCTAAATATAAATTATAATTTTCATACTTTTCAAATCAATTCAAAAAAGAAAAGAATCATACCAATAAAATAATTTTATTTAATTCAATTTTATCTTGTGCAAGACCTTCATTAAGTGCTTGTATTTTACAAAGTAAATCTCGTAAAGTTGCATTTTCACTTCGTTCTTTACTAAGATCAAGTTCAATTTCAGCACGATAAGATTCTGAACGTGAAAGTGCATCACCTAAAAAGAATCACGAAAAAAAGGCATAGAAACATTCTCATATGTTTTTCGAATCGAATAAACTTACCAAGTACATGTTTTTCTTGTGCAAGAACATCTTTAGTTAATTTTTCTTTGTGATATTGTTCACGTAATTCTGTTATATCTGTTTTTAATTGTGAAATTTTATTTTCAAGATTATCAATAACTTTAATGCAACGTTCATTTTCTTTAACTTGTCGAATTTTATCTTTTTGTAAATCATCTTTTTCTTCTTCTAGTATATCACGTTGACGTTGAACTTCTGTATTTGATTGTTGTAAACGTTCACAATCGGCACGCAATGAATCAATTTGAGAATTAAGTGTCTTTGAACAATAGAGAAAAATATAATAAAATCATCAGTCAAATATTTAAGAAAAAAACAAATTTACAATACGAATTTTTTCCATATTTGTACGTTCATGATTTGATGTTTCAAGTGCTGTTTTTGAACGATCACGTTCAGTTGCTGTATCATCAAATTGTCGTCGTAATTCTTCAATTTGTAATTTATAAGTTGTTGCTTGTTGGTCTAAATGTCGTCGTTCAGCATCACTTTGATTCAATTGATCTTTTAATTGTTGAATTGTATCACGTGCACTATTTAATTTTGTTTGTAAATCATGAACCTTAAACATTTAAATAATAAGATAACCATTAAAATATGGTTCATTTTTTTTCTAACTCTCAAAGTTTTTATTAGATAAAACTTAAAAAGCTGTAGTTTCAAACAAATATTAGAAATAATAGAAGAAAAAAGAAAGATATCATTGGCAAATCAATAAGTGACAATGGCGAGATAAGAGGGGACCCCTGAATGTACAGGATATGGCAAAAGTCTGATCTGAGAAAAAAAATGTAAATATTTCTTAAATAGTTCAAGCTATTTACAATGCCCATTAAAGTTTTATTTTATATATTGTTTTTTAGTTTCTAAATAATTATGATCATCGGAAATATGTAAATTCATCCTGTTCGAAATATTTAGAGAAGGAATACCCTGCCTATCAGCCACCTTGCGGCGTAGGGTGTTACCTGATGGTAGATTCAATAGCCATATAACTTTCCTACAACTATGACTAACTGTAGCTCTGAACAGAAGATCAACCCAACACAGAGTTCTTGTGTTCCCTATACATACTAACTAATCATAAGAGCAGATTTATGTGACAACGTAGTCAGCTAGCTATCGAACGGGGGATCCAAAACTTGTTCACGGTCATTGTATGGCTGGTGATACTAAGGCTTGTACATAGTACTTTGTGGATACGTGTCAAACAACGTAGTCATGACGACTGAAAATATTTAGAGATCGACAAGTACAGTCGTAGTTTGTATAATAAATATTTCTGCTGTTATATCGATAAAACATTTGGGGAAAAGTGGATCTTATCGATATAAAATGAACTTTCATGATTGTTTGATAGTGTCTACTGTTGGTATCAAAATTTGACAACTTCAACTCAATTCTATGAATCTTTTTTATGAAGTGATTGGAAGTCATTCAATCCTCATTCAGTGTGCTGTTGTTCGCCGAATGAAAAAGGCTGTTTTGACAATCTGAACATTCGATATTGGTTTCTTTTGCATAAACATCATGAAGTTTTTCGATTTAATGCGCTTCTAATTTTACAAAAGACTAGCAAACAGTGTTTCATCCAGTGTGAGAGCCTCCTCCTAAGATCGAGTAGGACCTTCTCAAGTTTGTAGTTATTTTACCACCTAATATGCCTGTCTGTGTACTCCCAAAAAAATAGGTGTCCACTCTTCCGTAAGAGAAAATCACTGATTGAAAAGTATCTCTAATACAGTCTACGTCTAGCGTTTGTATACCAAATTCGACTTCTATGTTTTCTTTCACAACGATATTTGATCATTAATGAAATTATCTGTATTCTAATGTCTGTGAGTGCAGAAATATATAGAATAAAACTTCAAGAGACATACTATCATAATATAGAAAAACAAATAATTGTAAATCGCTTAAACTAATTCAAAGTTATTCACGTCTTTTTTTCACGGCAGACTTTTGGAACACCCTGTATTTAAAGCGAGAAATAAAAAAAGTCAAATTAAAAAAAAAATTCGAGATAGTTTAGTTTTTTTAGTTTATATTTATGTTGGTACTCCTCCTCTTTCGGTGAGATAATTATTAGGCTTCCAACGAAGTGAAATCTAAACGGATCACGTAAGGAACATTTTTATTTTTAGTTATCCATAAAGAAAAAGAAGAAAAACAATATATAAGAAAGACATAATCTGTTAGAATAATGATGAATTACCTGAACTTGTCGTTTATTTAATGCAGCCTGAACAGCACTAAATGTACTGTCGGCAAATGATGGTGAAACATTGCGAGAATGTGGTCGAGATGCTTGTGTTGGACGTTGAGGTGAATTTGATCGAGGTGAACGAAGTCTATATTCAAAAGATTATAGGTATTATAATCTATTAGATTTTGATATATTCACAAAAAAAGGTTTTTCTTCTCATGGATTTATTTGAACATAGATTCTGATGAATTGTTTAATCTTAGGTAATGATACTAACCAGAGAACTTCTCTGGGTGTCAAATCGCTTTTTCGATCGAGATAATATTCATTTTATGAGTACTAAAAAGTCCTAGAAAAGTCAAGAATGATTTGTTTTTTCCAGGCCTTTGTTCTTGAGATACCAAGATTTTATTGGATTTTTCAACAAAAACCTGTGGTCACATGAAAAATTGACTTTCGAGTTTTGATTTCAAACTTTGCATGAACAAACTTCGTAATGAGATTAATTCATTGGACAAGTTATAATTGTCGATGTTCTCTCATGTATAAAAGCAAACCTTGTTCATATATTCACACATTAAGAAAGGAAGTACTAGAAAAGCTCAAAGTTACATAATCGACTATATCACAGCTTTTTAATGAACATAAGTTCAGAAATAAAAAAAATTCAAATTATCATCTATAGAACTATTAATTCTTTTTCAAAAGTAAAGTTTTCTTTTTTTAAAGACAAACATATGTTTTCTAGACATCTGGAAAGTGTTAGCAAATAAAATAGCAGACTGAAACAAAGTTTTACTTCTCTTCCCATCTATTTTTATTCTTCACAGACATCTGCTTTATCACTTTCAAATACCAGATAAATGTCTGTTAATTTCAATATGACATCGAAGATGAGACCTTATAGTCAAGACAATTGAATGAATGCAAAAAACGAATTTAGTAGTCATTCATTGCTAATCATTTTCTCCAAACTTCTAAATGGTGACTTCTTTCTTTTGAAACAAAAGCATCCGTTTTTGCTAAAGTCATAAGATCTATTCCTTGGGTAAGATCTCAGACTAAACTCCCCTAATTCAACTTTCCTCGCAGTATCCTGCGATAGGCTGAAAATTCAATAAAATGATCATAACTCAAGTAGAAAGTGCTAATGACACAAATCCTTTTAGGACTTTTATTGACACCATGCGCCCTAATATATGATGTGCTACACTATTAAATTTCATCGAAACTTTAATCATTTGAGTATCTGTCTTAGATGAATTCATTTTTCGCAGTGTCTGCTTCGGTAATCAAATGATGTCCGCATTCTTAATTTTGATTATTTTTTTGAATAAGTGAAAAAGTAAAATTTTTTTAAAAAGTATATTTCAATTATTTTTCTTTAATTTTGTATTGCATGTAAAACAACATTTTGCTTATTAGATTTTGAGATTTTTCATTATTTTTCTTATCTTGCTTTATTAAAAATTTTTCTGTTGTTTTTTTTCACCGATGTTTCATTTACATAAGAATCAATTCTATTATTTTCTGATATTTTCTTTTTTGCGGACAAGAAAAAAAAATTATTACTTTTTTCTGTCAAAACTACTTATTATAAGGCGTATTTGAATAAAGAAAAAAAAAAACAATAATGAATTCGTACCTTTTTTTTTAATAAACAACATTGTTCATGTTGATTACGTCAATGATAATGGTAGCTCTTCATATCAATGAATGTATGAATTTTTAAAACTAACAAATGAACTCGTAACAACTGAAAGCTATATATATGAATACAAAGAAACAACAGACATATATATGAATTCGATTAATCTTTTCATATAGTTTTATTTAAAAAATTCTTTCGATAGTTGATGTAATGCTTACAATCGAATGAAAACGATCTCCATGTTTTCTTTTCTTAAGAAACAACTAATGAATTCGTTTTAAATTGAATTCATATCAGATTTAATTATATTCTTTAAGAAGAATTCTATATGATATAAAACAATGATGTCCCATTATGTTGTTAAATGGATCAAATTTTTTTCTTTTTAACACTATTGGTTTCAAGGTAATTTCAATTGGAGTTGTTGTTGTATTTCTTTTTTGAAGCCTTGAATAAAATTTATTTTACAACTTCTTTTTTTTTTGAGAAACTTTTTTCGATTTCCTATCTAAAGAAACTAACAGAACCCATTCAGGTTTTTCTTTTTTAAAGTAAACCTTAAAAGTATATTTTTTTTACATTGATGATATAGAATAAAAATAAATTTAAGATAAATTTCATGCAATATACAAAAAAAATCTCTTTCTTTTTTATTCTTTTTCTCTATTACCCTAAAAGCATTCTCGTCCTTTTGAGCTCGACGAACAATGCAGTTCGAGCTCTTAAAACGCGTGAGGGCACAAAATTCAATTCTTTTGTTCAATTGCTCTTTAAAGAACTTACTTGTCTTCTACCATTCTTTTCTTACAAAAAAAAAAAAAAAAAAAAAAGAAGTAAATTACATACCGACTATAAGCTCGATCAGGTGAATCAAATCGATCGGCACCTCGTAATGGTGATAAACGTCGAGGTGATGTTCGTCCTAAATCATTATCGAATATATCATCATCATCATTAAGTACAGATTGTGCTATATCTCGTAATCGTTGATGAAGTCGTTCTGTATCAGCATTAATTTCTCGAGTACGTGTTTCTAGAGCCGAAGATGACGTTTCCTATAATAAATCATCCAGTATTAGATTAAAATCTAAACTTTCCTATGAATCATTAATAAATAGCAATGAACGAATCCGAAAAGAAAAAATTGTGAAGTCATTATGAGCATAAATGTACAGAAGAAAAAAAACGGGGAAGAAAGAAAAATAAAAGTTTGAATAGGTTATTGAACGATTGAAAAAATAATAAGTGATCAGGCAAGAGTTGCTCTAGCAATTTTTCTTTTTTTTTCGAACACTTGATCATATACTTCCGTTATTAATTGTATGCAAGAATTATAATAATAATTTTAATAATGAGCTTTTTATTAACTTTGTTCATACCTGTGTACGTCGAAACATAACGATAGTGGTCAGATAGGAACCGCAAACCAAATCAACAATGTTAAGAAATGAATGAAAACGAAACACGAGAATAAGAGAAAAGAAGGAGAATTGATGTTGAAGGTAGTATTACTTATGCACACCATACGGCGACGATGAAGAGAATTCTTTTTTTCTTCTCTTTTTCACTCCATGAAATATTTTCAACAAAAAAAAAAGGAAAGAATGCCAAACCGCTAACAGAATCAACCACAGCATCTTATTTCATTTTCTCAAATTTTTTTCCTCTGTAAAACTTCATTAGAATTAAACAAGCAAGATTTGTCAAAAAAAAAAAGAAATTTGAGAAAGTTTTGTAAACAAAGTATTGATAAGCCTATTTGACTCGTACAAAGATGTGCAATTGTTAGTCTAGTTTTTTCGTCTCACAGTTTATTAGAACTGATGTTGTTGCTTCTACTAATGATCATAGTGAAATAGTTGGCAAGTAACATTCGTCGGTGTTGTTCTTCAATTACAACTGTCCGATAATATTTCAATCAATTTTTTTTTACAAACATCAAAAATTAATGATTAAAAACAAACTACTAATAGTATTGATGTTTCTTTTTCTTATTACTATCATTCATTCTGAATCTGAAATATCAACAAATAATCGAAATAATGTTGCATTTATCTTTTTATCTTTAGCTATATCTATTGTTTATTGTACACTTTTATTAGTATATATTTTTCGTTATCGTATTTTCAAAAATTCTATTGTAAAAGAAAATGATAATCAAAATTATATGAAAAATTATAATAGAATTAAACCTGATCAAGATCAATATTTTTTAATTAATCAATTTTTACATCGTCTTAAGATGAATATAGACTAATAAAAAAAATGTAGTAAAAGACAATCGTATCATTCATAAGTTTCATTTTCAAGATATTGAAATAAATGATTGAGGAGACAATAATATGTGTATATATGTCTATAGACACTCACCCTCGTAACCACACTCTGTTGTAACATCTCGACGTCAGAATTTGCCGCAGACAACAAGTGATTGACAACTATTGCTTCTAGCTGTTGTTTAATTTTTTTCTCATGAGGTACCTTTCACTACTATCGTCGTAGAGTAAACAATTGCGTCCTCGACTATGTAATTTATTAATGGGCTTCTTTTATCAAAATACATTTTTTTTTCTTTGTCAATTTCTCTTTTACTTTCACGATCATTTTTTGCTTTACTCATTTAAACTGACAGATGTATAGCTTGGTATAGAATACTATAATGTCAATAAGTAGAGGAAACAGATCGAAGAGAGTGTGTGTTTGGAAATGCTTCTTTGTAGCAGACACAATCGATTGTTCCTTCTGGCAATTTAATGTTGTTTTTGAACTGCGATGAACATCAATGCAAACTTCATATCGATAAATATATATACATCTGTTTCTAACCTACAATAATACAATGTTAGTTTAATCATTATAAGAGCCAATTGAAATACGGTGCGTTATTTTTATAAATGTCATAAGACATAAAACAAACATATAGACAATGGAAACCATTTTTTATGACTACAAGAACTTCTACTCTTGTTGAGGTTTTATAATCAACAACAAAGAACAGAATTCGAAGAATTTCCATCATTTTATTAGTTTTTATGTATCTGATGAAAATTAATATTAAATATTTTATAAGATTGAACGTAGATGCTCTTTGTTCTTTTGTTTGATAGTTCATTCTTATCTATTAGAAAATAATCAAAATATAGAACAAGTTGTCATCTCTTTACCTTAGGGCTTTCTTTTTATAGTTGACAAGTACAAATGACCTGAAATACTCAATGGAGAAAAAGTCTAAGAGTCACTATTAACAGTTCACTAAGCAAATAACCACAATCTGCATGTATATATACATATATATATCGAAATTAAGTATATATTAACAAATTCAAACAGTTATTATAATAGCTTTATCATTATGAAAATGTTCATAATTACAATACTCTGAAGGTCATGTTAATTTTCATATTGTCAAAAACAGATTTTTGTTTTGTTTTAATTTGGCTTCATCTGTTTTACATTTTAATAGAAAAAAAAATTGAGTCATTCTTGAGACATCATTAATGTTAAAAGACAGATGTACAAGAAAAAGAAAAGAATCAATCGTCAACTAAGTATTGATCAAGGATATGATCCTTGATGTTGCATTATGGTAATATTACTAAATCTATATTAGATAGAGAAAAAAGTTCTTTTCAGGTTTCTATACATGATTGACAAAACTTTAAAAGCTTCAGTCGATCATTTTTTAAGAGCATCATAGAAAAACGAAACTAACCGTTGCTTGATTTTGAATTTGATTAGCACGTGCTAAAGTCGTAATAGTGCCATCTTTTTCAGCCAATTGAAAACGCAATTTTTCATTTAATAATGATGTTTCTTGTAATCTGAATGAAAACAAAATTATTTTTTTTTTGTATACATTTAGAAACATAATAATAAAATACCTTTGTTGTAAATCAGAAATTTCTCGTGTTTTCTCTCGAATTTGACTTTCTAAATTTGTACGATCATGACGTTCACGTTCAGATGCAGCCTATGGAAACAATAATAAGATAAAGAGGAAAAAAACAAGGTGAACAAATCAATTCATTATTATTTACTTGTCCTTGAGTTTCAGCTGTTTTAGCTACAGTTAAAAATCCAAAACAAGCACTTGTTAATGATCGTCCTGTTTGTGCAAGATCATTTCGAACACGCATTAAATCACGTTCAGTTGTGCCTTTGAGTTCAATAAATTGTTTACGAAATGTAACAATATCACGCCATAATTCATACATATGATTATGTTCCTTATTACAAAATTGATTAAAAACCTGTAAAAGAATTATTATTATAAATATACAAGAAAAAGTTTTTCTAAAACAAACTCGTTCTTCTTGTTTCCAATCATGTGCTTTTTGTGTAAAATCTTCACGTAATTTTTGTAGTTCAGTTGTTGTACGACGTTGTTCTTCGCTTAATTGTTGATTAGTTAAATGAGCTTGATCAAGTTGTTCTCGTAACATTGTATTTAATTGTACAAGATTAGCTGATCTATATTATTGAAAAAAAAAAAAGAAATTTTTTTTTTTGTTTTTGATTTTAATAATCTCATAAAACATCTATTTTATGAGAATATGAATATTTGTATTCAATTACTTGTGTTTTTCTTCTTCGAGTGTAATTGTTGCTATATTTTCTTCATCATTATGTTGTGTTATACGTGATTCAAAAATCAATGATGATGTAGCATTACTAGCCGACTATATTAAAGAAATATTTATTTATTTAGTTTTTTTGTGTGAAATTGTTTTTTTTCTTACAGTGAGTCGAATACGGTCCATATCATTTTTATGTTGTTCAATTAATAATTCAAGTTCTGTACATCGATTTTTATATTGTAAAACCTTTTGTTAAGAAAGATATAATTTGTATGTATGAATTTATTTGTTTATTTACTTTTTGTTGAAGCTTTTGTACAAGTTGTGCTTGTTTTAGTTGTCCTTCTTGATAATTCGATAATTTACGTTTATAATTTTGATGTTCTTCTTCAAGTTTTCGTCGTAAATCAATATTTTGTTGAACAAGAATACGTCTTTCAGGTTCACCATTATTAGAATCTGATGATATGTCAATACCTTGTGCACGTAAGGATTGCTCGAGCTAAATATAAAAGCAAAAATTACTATATATGGGCAAAATCATTTGTTAGCGACGTGACTTCGTAAAATTGCAACGCGTATATCTTGGGATAATGAACTTCCCAAGAACTAATTTTTATATGTTATATGTAAGGTAAGTTACTCTAGACACTCTGAAAAAATTAGCCCTCGAGGCCTTTGTTGGGAGGAGTTATTACTACATAACTAGCGTTAACGACGTGACACAAAAAGGACATCAATTTCCACTTCATTCATTTTAATTTAAAAAAACTTCAAACTAGCGTAACATTTTTGAAAACTAAATGGTACATTTTGTAGAGAACTCATAGGGATGTAAAATCCCTACCCGAAGTTTTTTTTGGAGTACGCATACATTTTCCAGAAAATTGGATTTACTTTTCGTTAGCGATGTGACACTTTTGTTAGCGACGTGACTGAGTACGAATATGCAAACGAAAAAATGCTCTTATAATTAAATGAAAAGTTCAAAACCAATTTAAAATGGTACAAATTCTTCCTCAGGATCTCGAGATGATAATAAGACAACAGTTTTCTTTTCGAAGCTTGATAGGCTCTGTAGAGGGCCAGTTTTTATGAGGAAAATTTTGGAGTTCGATCTTGCTAAAAAATTTACCATAGACGTGGCTCGACCCCTAGAGTCTATCTTGAAATTTTTAGATTTTTCCTTTGTACGGTTGGAGAGATATTCACTAATTACTTCTTAATTAGTTAACTGATTTTTATTAAGTAGCATCTGAAAGAGCCAACATTTTTACATATGTCTATGCTAAAAGAACTTATTCAGAAAAAACACTTGCGTCAAAAATCAAAGTCAAATGAAACGGGGGTATGTCCTGTTTTGCCCATATATTTTTTTTTGAATTAAATAAAAATATTCCTTGACAAACGAAAAAAAACATCTAAAGATTGAAATGAAAATATTTATAATTTATATGTAAATATGCATAAAGTTGGACAAAAAAAGACGAAGAATGTTTATAAATTATTATAGGTGAGATTTTTTTTGTTTTACAACATTTATTTTTCTTTGTTTTAAAAAAGTCTACAATGAAAAGTTAGATAATTCTGATTAATATAAGAATTCTTACCCGATCAGATAAAGCATTATAACGTATACTTAATTCATCTTTTTCAGCTCGAGTTAAGTTAAGTATTGTTTCGACTCGATTTAATTCATCGTTTAAATATCGATTTTCATCAATAAGTTGAGCAGAAGTTGGTGTCGTCATTAAATTTTGATTTGAACCTTGGCTTGAAACAGTGAATGGTGATCGTGATCGTGTTATTGGAGGTGTTTGAACTCTATTTAAAAGGATATCCTGAATTTGACTACGAGCAGAACTACTTCGGTTATCATCATCATCATGTGAAAGTACTTCAAGGTGCTAAAACAAAAAAAAAAGAAGTATATTTGCTTTTATTCTTGACAGGTTTTGTTTTGTTAAAATCAAGTCATCCTTTTGATAATCAATGAAATGAAATCATGTGATACATACAATAGAAGCTTCAACAATATTATTATCTACCATATTGAATAAGACAAAATGCTTATCATTTAAATTCAACGATTTTTTTTTTGTATGTGTAAATTGATACAAATTTTGTTCTTACTAATGTGACAACAAACGAGCAGTAAAAACGTCTCTGATCGTAATGGTATCGAAGAATAAGAAGGAGAACATCGAAGAGAAAAGTGACGAAAAAGAAAAAAAAAATTTACTATTTGTTTATAATTATGTATTGGATCATAAAAGGCTATGTCTCTTTTATGCTACCACAATTTTTGTATACAATTTGATGACATGAGAAGAATTTGAACAAATGTTCAATTGATTAAAATCAATAAAAATGCAGAGAACAACCAAAACAGAATGCTTAGTTTTTATTCCGACGACTACTTTACTACAAAAATGCATCGAAAAAGAAGAAGAGGTAGGCAAAAAATGCGGTTTTGTGGTCAATTATTTGACTAATATGAGAAACCTTTTTTTTTCAAACTAAATCAATCTATTACCTGTATATTTCTCAGTACATTATACAATGAAATATTCACAAAATGCTATTTATATGGTTGTAGTAAATAAGAATTTTTTTTTGTAAATGAAAATGTAAAATATTAAACTCATATGCTTTTCTTTTCTGTTTTCTTTTCTTTTGTTGTTATTGGTAAAATAAAACAGTTAAATACCAGTAAAAAAATGGCTTTTTTATGTTTATCTAACAAACTTGTTAAATCACTTCAACTATTAGTCATATTTTTTCTAGTATCTTTGTTTCATATATCTTCTTGAAGAAATGTTTTTATTTCAACTTTACATAATAAATCAACTAATTTCACCAAGATAACACTGATGTCTCGAATAAAATAAATATCCCTATATAATTTCTATTACACAATCTAGTCATCGAATTAAATATCATCTAAATAGGCATTTTTTTTGTCTCTTATTTCAAGGTTTAACAGCTTCGTTCATCCAATTTTTTTCCTTTTTTACAATCGAATGTTTCTTTTAAAATGAAAGACAAACAAAACACACACACATTTTTCAATCAAGTATGTTTGTTTCGATCGATAATGTGTGGGTGTTTCTACTTAAATTATGATTCTCGTTATATGTATGTTTGTGAACAAGGAGACGAAATGAAAATTTCATTTTAACTTTAAATGTCTTTATTTCTATCTCTGATCGACAAAGAAAAAAAGATTGTATTGTTTTTCTTATGAATAAAAAAGAAAAAAAAACAGCAATAAACATGAATGTGTGACTTTTATGTATTATAATAAACGATTTCTTTCGGTCATATCGTTCATTACGAAAAAGTAAAGTTCAATAACAAAAGAAAGACGACGATAAAAGAATAGTAATAGACAAAATGGAAATGTGAGATTGAAGTATTATATATTGATGTAAAAAATATTTTTTTAACAAGGCTTCCATTTTTAAGCTTAAATAGAGTTGTGTATAAATATATATATATATATATATATATATGTAAATGTGTGTGTTTAATTCAAGTGTCAAGGATAAAATTTTTGATGAAATTTTGTACTTACGAGAAGAATTTGATCATTAAATATAGAAAATGTAAGTCAATATGAATAAGTAAAAGAAAGAACGATACAGATCAATATGTAACAAAGAAAAATAAACTTCGAATAATCAATTAATGGATGTGTCAAATGAAACAAAAATGTGAAATTGGCCAGATGCGCCTGAAGGAAGTTTTTTTCTTCTTCACATTCAACGAATCAAAATAACTAAATACACTTAACCGCAGATTACTGGTCAAAGCAAGAATTGATAGATCAAATTTCATCATAGAGTAACAAATGGTAAAAGTTGCTAAGCGACAAACCTTTAATGATGTTAAAGGTCATCACTATCAGAGATATGAAAAATGATTATCTTTTGGTAAAGTTCTATAAATTTAAAGATAATAGTGCAATTAATTCAAACATGAGAATATTTACAATTAATATTTTTACGATTGGAACACTTTGACTAATTGAATCAAGCAATGTCAAAATAAATATAAATCATATTTATACTTTTGGCAATAGTAAATTTTCCAGTAGAAAAAACAATACAAAAGTTTTTTATGTGTCAAAAAAACCACGTTCAACTAAGTGTTAACCCTAACCAGCGACATCTACAACAAGTTTTTGCGGAAATTCAGCTATAAAATGGACAAAATCCGTTGAAATATCTATAATTTAATCTTAGACAAATTATTTATTATTAATATGAAATAACTAAAATTCGACAACTTAAAATTTTATCGAAAATCGAAAGATTTGTTGCTTCTTACAAATGAACTCTTTGCTTTTGCAGAATTATCACAATTATTAAAAGATAAGTACAATGTCTTAAACAAGTTCGTCAATATTCACCTCATTTTCTCAATGCTCGTATACTATTTAATATATAATTATCCTAATATTGTAAAATCACATGCATTTACATTAAATCCTTTGATGTTAGTTGTAAAAAGATTTAGAATATTTACATTAGTCAATGTTTCATATTTCAAGTATTCTTAACCATCTATTAGATAAAATTTGCGAAGAAAATGATTAAACTTTAATTTTTGTTTCTTTTTTTTTTCAAATAGAGCTTTGAAATGGAATCTCTAATAGCTTATGTTCATCATCGGACAGCTAAGCTTTATTTTATAGATACTTCTGAAATATGTAACTGTACACTTAAAAAGCAGGTGAGAATTAGATCGTTGCCGTGTGATGAAAAATGAAATTAATAAACATTGTCTTTGCATATTAATAAAGCTTGAATAGTTGTCTATTTAATAAATTGTGGATTGTGTATGCTCCTTTTTTTGTTGTTTAAGTCACTAGAAATGATCCAGATATTCACGGAGAACTACTCGTGCTTCTGGATAATCTCATGTCAATTGTGAATATTCATTTTCATCAGTGCCATTCAATAATAACTTACATGATTAAAAATCTGAACTATCAAGTAGATGAAATATTCATCTGGGAAATTCTCTTAATAAATAACAGTAAACTTCAAGACTTCGTGAGAGCTGGAGTATACTTTATACTGTCAATTGATAGTTTTTATTTTAAGCGTTGGTAATAAAGAAAATGTGAAGAATTACTAGAGAATCCTTTCGTTTAATAATTTTTACATATCTTGAAAAATTTTCATGAAGTGCTACGAACCAGATATTACTATCATTGTATTATATGTATAAAAACCAAATTCAAAGACGAACACTACAGAACTTTTATCTTTTTATATAATTTATTATGTTTTTCTTTTATTTTTTTTCTTGCATAAGTTTATTTAATTGTTAGAGACTAACTAATGAAATTCCATCGATTGATGAAGTGAAAGTCTTAATTATTCTTGCTTCATCTACATTAGTTGAAATACAATCGACACATTGGCATATTTTATTTCACTGGTCTAGATAGTTTGACGCTATCAGAAAAATTTATTACCTTTTTTCATAATTTATTTTAAATTGTGACTGCTATTGAATTAATCTCTTCTACATTGAATTATAAATCTACGATTTACGTATGTAAATATAGACGACTAATTTATTGCAGCTAGATATGTTTTTCAAATATTTATAAATACAGTCAGTTAAAAATTACTGATCTGAGTCAAATGGTGATATAGATAGTACGAGAGGCGGAGTACATGATGTACTTATTATATAGAATCGAATATATTTTTATTTAAAAGCTTATAATTCAAATGACTTTTATTTTACTTTCATAGAAACATTTTGTTGGTGTTTAACAATCATAACAGGAAAAATATAAACAAAGATTTTTTTCTGCAAAAAAAAGTTCACTAAAATCGAGTTTCAATTATCGACATGGAAAGTCGATCGCATATTTTCTTCAGCATGACTAGAATAATCATCAGGTTGGCCAGAAAAATGACCGGGTTCATTTGAATTTTGACTAGCTCTTCTCGGCGAACATCTTGCAAGCAAGATCTTGGCCAAGATAATTATACGTAAGGTAAGTTAGCCGTAGATTCGAGTCTTTCTTGCTGACTTTTGCTCTCAGACACATGGCGGCTCTCTAATTGGTTGTAATGGATGTAGATTTCGCTTTCCTATGAAATCGTGATACTTGTGAAGGGTATCACTAGCGAAAAGTATAAGTTTTGTCGAAAAGTGGAGTTTTCGACCGACAGCTACCAGAATCGTGTAAGTTTCATGTAAAAGTTTGAGAAGGCTTTGTTGACGTTCGATGGTAGATCTTAAAGGTTTTAGCGCTTGAGGAAGCCTGCTCTCGTTCAAAGTGTCAAATAGTGAGTAAAACCGGTACAAATAATTCTTCTTGGTGATTTGTTTTCAGAAATGATTGTTGATCAATTGATAAGTAGCAGAAGATGTTTGCCTACGACTATTGATTGATGTGATACCAGCTTCCGTTTTTCTCATTTCTTCTCCCTTTAATGTGTTTTACACTCAAGAACTGTCTAAAGTATTTGTTACTTCGAATAAATTGGTATTGATTTTATGATCGTCTGAAAATAGTACAGCTGAGGGAGACTGCACAAACAGCTTTGAATGATGTTTTCTGTGAAGCAAAACAAAAGCAGATAATGCTGAAGTTAGATGTCAGATCCTCATATACGGCATCAAGAGTCGTTTCAAGTTTGTGTCTTGGTAAATCATTATACCTTTGCTCTTCATGTGATTAACTGCACATACTGTTGATTAATGAATATTTACTTCTTTTCTAATCTCTATCTGTTGCTGTTCCACATCTTGTATACACTTCATCAAGTAATCGCGTATTGCGCTCTCTCGTTCAGTACTATCTCCTATCTCTATGCATTTACAACTCACCAACAGTCGCTTCATGTCACTTTTTCTCTTCCCCCTTCCCCTTCGCTCTTTATTTTTACATGTTCCTCTATTTCCCTTTTCCTCACTCTTCGTCACCACAATTCTATTTCTATACCTCTACATCTGTCGTTTATTATTACTCTTTTTGCTTTCTTATGTCTTCTCTATCTTTCGTATGTTCACATTACCT